TGTGGTTTTGATTTGCATTTATCTGACAACTAATGATGTTGAGCTTTTATTTTAAAGTTCCTTTTTTTTCTTAAAGCAGCTGGCCTGTACAGGGATCCAAACTATTGACTTTGGTATTATGAATACTGTGTGCTAACCAACTGAGTTAAATGGCCAGCCCAAGGAGCATTTTTGTATGTGCTTATTGGCCATTTGCATATATTCATTAGAAAAATGTCTATTCAGATCTTATATCCATTTTTAATTGGGTTATTTGTCTTTTTATTATTATTATTATTATTTGTTGTTGTTGTTTGTTTTGGGCAGCTGTGTGTTGGCCTTGGTGTTGAACTTGACCTTGGTGTTATCAAGGCCATGCTCTTAACCAGGTGAGCTAACCAGCCAGCCATGTTTTAAAATTATTAAATTGAAAGTATTCTCTATATTTTCTAGGTAAAAATACTTTGTCAGATACGTAAATTGAAAATATCTTTTCCCGGGCCGGCCCGGTGGCGCACTCAGTACAGTGCAGCGCTTGGGAGCGTGGCGGCGCTCCCGCCGAGGGTTCAGATCCCATATAGAGACCGGTCCGCTCACTGGTTGAGCACGGTGCGGGCGCGACACCGAGGGTTGTGATCCTGTTACCGGTCACGAAAAAAGACAAAAAAGGAAAAAAAAAAAAAAAAGAAAATATTTTTTCCCATACTGTGGATTGTTTTTTCACTTTCTTGATGGTGTCCTTTGTAACATAAACATATTTAGTTATGATAAAATCTAATTTATCTCTTTTTTCCTTTGTTGCTAATGTTTTTAGTGTAATATCAAATAATCCATTGCTTAGTGCAGTTATAAAGATTTATCCCTATCTTTTTCTTCAAAGAGTTTTATAATTTTACCTCTTATATTTAGATCTTTGATCCATTGAGTCAATTTTTGTATATGATGTGAGGTGTCAAACTTCATTCTTTTGCATGTCTGTCAAATTGTCCCAGCACCATTTGTTAAAAAGACTATTCTTTCCTCATTGAATGGTCTTGGAAATCTTGGCAAAAATCGGTTGACCATAGATACTTGGGTCTATTTTTAGCCTCTCAATTACATTCCATTTACCTATATGTTTAGTCTTAGGCCTGTACAACATTGTTTTAATTACTGTTGCTTTGTAGTAAGTCTTAAAATCAGGACAGGTGAATCCTCTAACTTTGTTCTACCTTTTAAAGGTCCCATGTAATTTTATATGAATTTTAGAATCACCTTTTAATTTATACAAAGAAGTCAGCCCAGATTCTGATAGGGATTGCATTGAATCTATAGAACAATTTGGGAAGTGTTGCCATCTTTACAATATTAAGTGTTCTGATACATGAGCCTAGGATGTTTTTCTGTTTATTGAAATCTTCCTTAATTTCTTTCAACAATAGTTTGTAGTTTTCAGAGTACACATTTTATGCTTTCTTTTAAAAGAGTTTCCGAAGTATTTTATTATTTTTGATGTTATTATGAATAAAATTATTTAATTAGTTTCATTTGTGGAATATATATTACAAGTGTATAGAAACACAATTGAGTTTCATATATTGATCTTTTATTCTGCAATCCTGCTGAACTAGTTTATTACTTCTAATAGTTTTAGTGGATTCCTGAGGATTTTCTAAATATGAGATCACATCATCTGCAAATACAGAAAATTTCACTTTTTCCTTTCCAATCTAGTTGCCTTTTATTTCTTTTTCTTGCCTACTTACATTGATTAGAATCTCCAGTACGTGCTAAATAGAGGCATGAGAGTGGACACCCTTGTGTTGCTCCTGTCTTTGGGGGAAAGTATATAGTCTTTTAACATTAAGTGTGATGTTAGCTTTGGGGTTTTGACTTTTTTTGTTTTTTGGTGTTTTTATTTTTTGTAGATTTCTTTTTAGGGTGGAAGAAATTCCCTTCTATTTCTAATGCGTTGAGACTATTATCATGAAAGACTGCTGGATTTTATCAAATGCTTTTCTTCATCTATTGGAATAATCATGCATTTTTTGTTTTTTATTCTATTGATATGATGTATCACATTTACTGATTTTCAGGTGTTAAAACAATCTTGTATTCCTGGGCTAAAGCACACTTTATCATGTTATGTGATTCTTTTTAAATGTTGTTGGCTTTGGTTTGCTAGTATTTTGTTGAGGATTTTTGTGTCCATATTCATAAAAGATTTTGATTGTAGTTTTCTCATGATGGCTTTGTCTGGTTTGGGCTCATAGAATTGGTTAATAGGTATTCCCTCTATTTCTATTTTTTTAAACAGTTTATGAAAAACTGCTATTAATTCTTTAAGTGTTCAGTAGAATTCAACAATAAAGCCATCTGGGTCTCTACTTTTCTTTGGGAGTAGTTTTTCTTATTACTAATTCATCTCTTAACTTATAGGTCTATTCAGATTGCCTATTTTTCTTGAGCCACTTTCAGTAGTTTGCATCTTTATAGGAATTTTTCCATTTCATCTAAGTTGTCTAATTTTTTGGCATGCAGTTTTCCACAGCATCCCTTTTTTATTTCTATAGGGTCAGAAGTGATGTTCTTCCTTTCATTTCTGATTCTGGTAATTTGGGTTCTCTTTCTTTTTTTTCTTGGTCAGCCTAGCTAAAGGTTTGTCAATTATGTTGATCTTTTTGAAGAACCAGTTTTTGGGTTCATTGATTTTCTTTATCATTTTTCTATTCTCTATTTTATTGACTTCCATTTTAATTTTTAATCTTGTGTAGGTTTAGTTTATTTTCCTTTATTCCAGTGTCTTAAGGTGAAAACTTATGTTATTCATGTGAGATCTTTTTTCTCTTTTAATCTAGGAGTTTATAGCTATAAATTTCCCTCTAAGCACCACTTTAGCTACATCCCATAAGTTTTGGCATGTTGTTTCCTCATTTTCATTCATCTCAAAGTATTTTCTAATTTACCTTGATATTTCTTCTTTGACCCATTGGCTATTTAGGAGTTTGTAGTTTAATTTCCACATATTTGTGAGTTTCCCAATTTCTTTCCATGATTAATTTCTGATTTCATTCCATTGTGGCCAGAAAACACATTTTGTATTATTTCTATCCTTTTGAATTTATTTGGGTTTGTTTTATGGCCTAGTAAAGGATCTATCCTAGAAAATGTCCTATATACTCTTGAGAAGAATGTATATCTGCTGTTGTTTGACAGAGTGTTCTATAAATGTCCATTAGGTTTACTTGGTTTATAGCATTGTTCAAGTCTTCTATTTCCCTGCTAATCTTCTTCATAGTTTTTCTATCTGTTATTGCAAGTGGGTCATTGAGGTCTCCAACTATTGTTTTTGAACTGTCCATTTCTCTCTTCATTTCTGTCAGTTTTGTCTTCATGTATTTTGGTGCTCTCTTATAAGGTACACAGATATTTATAATTATCATATTTTCTTGATGGATTAGCTCTTTGTTGTCACTATTTATCCCTAGTAACATTATTTGTTTTAGTCTACTTTGTCTATTAGTATAGTCAATACAGCTTTCATTGGATAAAGTTTGCATAGCATAGCTTTTCCATCCTTTTACTTTCAATCTACTTGTATCTTTGAATTTAAAGTATGTCTCCTGTAGACAGCATATAGTTAAATATTATTTTTATATTCACCCTGACAATTCCTACCTTTTGATTGGATTGCTTAATGCATTCACATTTAATGTTACTGTTGATATATTTAGATTTGTTTGCCATTCAACTTTTTGTTTTCTATATGTCTTATATCTTTTTCTTTCTTTTATATTCCTTTTTTCATTAAGCAAAATATTTTATAATGTAGCATTTAATTTCTAAATAATTTTTCCATTATATATTTTGTGTTATTTCTTTAGAGTTTGCTCTAAGACTTGTCATATATATCTTATCACAACAGCTTCAGATTTATACTAACTTAATTCCAGTGAGATATAAAAATCTCATTCCTATATAGCTCTATTCTCTTCCTCCCTTTTTTGTCATATTTTATTATAAATATTACCTATATAAATATTTCCAACCCAACATTACATTATTATAATTATTACTTTATATAAGTTTTTTGTTTTGAAGAAGATGAGAGAAAAAAAGGGGAGAAGTATACATATACAGCTTATTCTATATTAACCTTCTTTTTCTTATCACTTCTGGTTTTCTTTATTTGTTCCTGTGGGTTTGAGTTACCATCAAGAGTGATTTTCTTTAGCCCAGTACAGCTTTCTTCTCACTCACCTCCTTTGTGCTCTTATTAAATGTAATATATTACATTTCTACATGCTATAAGCCCCAAATACATTATAAACATATTGTTTTTTACTATTTCTACATGCAATAAGCCCCAAATACATTATAAACATATTGTTTTTTACTATTGCTTTTAATATCAGTTAAGAGAAAATATGCATTTATACTGTCTTTTATAATTACATAATTACCTTTACCAGTGCCCTTTTTTTAAAATTTGTTTTTAATGTTTTTAAGTTCTTTAGTCTGAAGAACTTCATTTAGTATTTCTTACAAGGTAGGTCTGCTAGCAACAGTTTTTCTCAGTTTTTGTTTATGTGGCAAGTCTTTATTTGGCTTTTATTTTTGAAAGAGAGTTTAGCTAGAGCATTTTTCTGAATATC